TCTGAGAAGGTTCCTGAATAATAAAGGCCTCCAAATTGCTCTTGACATGTCAGTGGCCTTCCAGCCCTGCAAAGACCCAGAACTGAGAGTAGGGCTCAACTCAGACCCCAGTTTCCTCCACAAACTCTCAAAGGGGAGACAGCAGTCCGAAGTATTGGCTTTTATAATCTCTCTTGTTGTTTCAACTTTCCAGAAGAGGATCGAGAAGCTGGATATGGGATAGAAGGGTAGAGCCTCTGTTCCCACTATGAACCCCAAATTGAACCACACAGGCTTCTCTCTGGGCTGGGAGGCCAGGGGCACCCAGTGGCATCAAGAAAAATGACTGAACCTATTTCTGGTAACACTGTGGGTCAATGCAGAATTCATGCCAAAAAGATGATGCTTAATGTAACACGAAAAATGCACACTCCCCCAACCTGCCTAGAAGTTTCTAAACCAGCAACTGTGATTCAAAGCCACACAGGTGCAATGACCACAGAGAATGGAAAACCACCACAGGGACAAGTCAGGCAGTTCCATGACCCCCAATCTCTCTATCCCCACTCTGTTTATTGAACCCTATTTTATACGTACACACGTATTAAATAACTAGCATTGACCAGAGAAGGACAAAATTAACTTTACAGCTATTTTTACAGACATGGAGACTCCACCAAAGCAACCCAGTACCAACTGGGAAGTGCAAAAAATATGTTTCCACTGAGCCACAGGCAACTCAGAGGACACATACAAGAGCCAGCTTCCAGACTGTCCTACTTGGGTGTTATCGTGGGACCTATCACAGCTCCGTACATGGAGAGCATGAATTCAGGCACGTCTTCCTATCTGAGATGCCCAGAAAGCTGCCTGTTCTAGCAGCCCCCACATAATCATTCACACCTACCTGTAGCTGCCAGTGGCCCCTATGGATTCCCTCCCTCGCGCGGCCTGATAGTTCAGGAGAAACAGGGCACTCTCCCCCAGACTTGGCTGAAAACCCACAGTAGCGACCACCATTCCACACTCACTGGAAGACACAGCAAACCCACATCAAAATGGGGTCTCCAGGAGCGGGGATGATGTCATAGGTCTGAGAGGGGAAAGGCTGCCCAGTGGATTCTGAGGATGGCCAGGACAGGGGACTTCAAGGAAGGTGGGAGATTTCTCTTTCCAAATGCACATGTTGAGGGGGGGCAGCTCAGAAGGAGGTGAGCCTCAACTTCCCAACAAACACAGCACCACCAACACCTCCACAGCAAGCAGCTACAAGCACTTGGGGAAATCAGGCATAAATTAGATACGTGGATAGCACGAAAGTCAGGCAAGCTAGCTTCTGCTGAAGAAAGTTCATTGGGCCCTGTCACCCACTTTCTGGGCATCAGCTGCCCAGAAATAAACGTCAGGGGGCGGGCTGAGCCGAGGAGGGCAGCTGACAGCTGTGGCCAGCGGGCCGGGGCAGAGGAGGAAGGGCTCCTGGGCTGGAATTCAGAGTGTGCCCACATCAGCAGAAAAGTTCCAGGGGACAGCACGCTGTCAGGAAGGGAAAGAGGCTTGCTGCTTCCCAGGACCTCAGGATGCACCACCACGGTGATGCCAGGTTCAAAGGGCCGTCAGATGAAGCCCGGGTGCACTCCCACGGGCACCTCGCCAGTCCGGGCGCCCGCTGAGGGACAAGTCGGGGTGGTCGGATGTCAAATAAACGTTCTGCTCCCAGGATCAGTGGGAAAGATTAATAATTCCCAGGTCCAGCCCTGCTTCATCTCTCTTTACCTAAGCCAAACACAGTCCCAGGAAGGAGTGGAAAGAAGCGGCGATGCTACCCGCCCGACGTCCAAGGAGGAAACTGAGGCACAAGGGTGCACGCGAGTTGCGGGAAGAGGCCCTGGGGAGGCTCGCACAGCGCGGAGCACAGGGAGGCTGGGGAGAGGGGATCAAGGAGGAGTTCTCTCCCCTCCCCTCCCGTCCCCTCCTCCCTT